GCCAAGATCAAAGGGCCCATCTTAAGCATGGGCATCAACTCTACCCAAAGACTATGGCTCCCCAAGGGAGGGCTGAGTGCATTTTTGACAAGGCTAATGGGGTGTTGGGTGGCAAACAGGAAAGAGGAATCCACAGTGAGTGTGGCTTTGGCATACACCGCAGGGTAACTGCCAGTGACAAAGACATACAATAGTTTTGGTTGTATACCTTATACCTCACTTTCCCCCTTTGCTCTGGCCCAAGGCACTCACACCTCATAGAAAGACCTAGAAATACTCTACGTAGGCAAAAACCTCAGATCAATAAAGGAAGAAAGCCCTTTTCATACCTGTTAGGAGGCAGAAGAGCCTCCGCATGCATCAGTCCTCTGGGTACCACCAATTAATTTATGCATTAGGGGTTTATGAAGTGCATTCTCCTTAACAGACAGAGGTCTGTGGAGACAAGGGGCAGCTTGTAAGGAATCCCCCTATGCATGAAGCCTCAGAGACAGTTCCATATTCAGAAGGAACAGAAAAGGAGTTAGCAAATTCAGTGGACACAAGAAACTCCCGCTGGCTGGCTTAGAAAAATCTGTAGGGCGAGTAGGGATGCTCCAGCCAGTTGCTGGGTGTTTCAACAGCAATGCTCACAGTGTAGTGGAATGGCTTCTCCTTCGGACACATTTTGCTTGCTATGCAGTATTTTTCCTCTCCTAGCATATTTGGCTTAAATACCATCTCATTCCATGACCCCCGTTTCTCCCCCACCCCGCTTCCCTCAGGTCATTCATTATAAAGGCCCCCACTAACCTAAAACTTCCCTTGATTCTTTAAAGTGGGTTATTCATTAACAGAACCTAAACTACTGGTTGCTAGCAAATCCAGTTCTCTCACACTGCAAATGGGCCCAGGGAAGCTGCTGCAAATCGACCGGAGAAAGAAGGGAAGCTTTGTGCCAATTGTCAGACCTAAACAGAAGTTCGGAAAAAGGAGAAAAGTTGCTCATTCGCCTGATCCCACTCGCTGAGTCCACGGGCAGTGCAGAGCCAGCTTGGCAAGCACACGGGGAAGCGACAACAGCCACCACCGCGGACAGGACAGGCAGGGCTGCAGGGCTGCCTCAGAGCATGGTCCCGGGTCCCAGCTGAAGTGTGCTCTAAGGATCGCACTTGCTTTCTGCTGCCTGCACCTGCCAGTGTCCTGTGTTAGGAGGTATGCCCCTTTTCTTTCCTGTCCTTTTGTTCAGCAGAAACAAAAGCTAACCAAAGTCATGGTCAGAAACTGCGGGGAGGCAGGGACTGGGGGAGCAGCACAGTGAAACTCCCAAGGGCTGGCTGATTATGCAGGCAAAGTGCAGTGAGGAGCTGTGTGTGTGTGTGTGTGTGTGTGTGTGACCACCTATGTGTACACTTCAGCTTTTAGGGTATGAGTATCTGCTTTTCTGTGGGTGACTCAAGCATGTCTCTAAGCTCAGAGGGCCAGGTAACTGTGTGCTAGATTCTTAGTGTGTGCATTATTGTTCTACCCCCTAACTGTGGTCTCCCATCCCACACACCCGTTCAAGCCTTTTGCGATGAGCAGAGAACCTGCCCCTGCTATTACCTTTGCAGAAAGCTAAGCAGCATCTTGGAGTCAGCGGGTTGGGTGCTCATTGGCGCTGGTCACCATTGCTGCAAGTGTGTGTCATCCAAGTCAGGATCTACTATAACCACTTTGTTCTCTCAAAGGACCATTTAAATAGGCATAATGATCAACAGTTGGGTCCCATGGAATCCATTTTTTTTAAAGATTGTAAAGACAGGAAATTATTCAGCAGTAATATTTGGGAATTTAAATGAAACAATCGGATGTTCAACACTGAGTGTTTCTCACAGTTAGAGAATTTGGGCATGTTTCCTGGCCGAGGGGGGGATGATAGGGGAGCCAAACAATTTGAATTCAGGTTCTTAAAAACAAGATATATGCTGTTCTAGAGGAAATATGACCTGCCAAATCAAAAGTTTCATGTGAAAATAGATACACTATGAAGTCATCTTGAAAGACCACGAAATTCTGAGCTTTATGGAGTTTGTTAGTGATAAGCTACCTCTCATTGTCCACAAAGGGAAACACTTCTCCTCCATTTGTGTTCAAAACTTGCAATTTGCACTTAAAAGGACATGTTCTGGGCTTTTGACTTAAATAGATGACAAAAACTTATATTTGTATGCTCTAGTAATAAGCTCACTACAAATTTGGACTTACGGATTCTTACGAAAACCCTGAGGTCTGAGCCTCTTAGAATTGTTTGGGATAATCTAGCATTGGAGGCTTCTGGCCCAAGCGAAGTGTAGCAACATGCCACAGCAAGGGGACCCAGGGCTGCCCAGGCAACAACAGCCATCTGTGGGAAGGGCTGAAATATATTCTGGTGATTCCCATGGGAACGCCTGTAGTCTTTTCACACTGTGTGAAAAAGATGCTCCTTCAAAAGAATCTTTAATCCTTTCTTTCAAGAGAAAAATCTATCTGGGAAATTTATTCAAAGTTTCTTAGCATCCAAATAGCCCTAAGTTAGTCAGTAGGCATTTTAAATTCAGGTAAATTAGATGAAAAATGTTTTGAGGCAGAGCCATGTTGCTCAAAATATAAACCTTGCTACTCTAGAATTTTCTGAAATAGGAAATCAGGCCTATTCTAACCTGAGTTGTAAGGTAGAGGCTTGAGTTCCTCGGAACAAATTGGTTTTCTGAGTTATTTTCATCAACACTGTCCCCTGTAGAGGTTTCTGTGTTCGTTCTGCAGGCACTATCCCAACGTTAGAGAGACTGACTAAGTCCGTGGTTGCTTCCATACAGCAGAATCTACGGACCCGTGATAGAGCAAATTATTAATGTATTTATAAGTAAACAATGAGTATAGGTCACCTTGAAAAGCCACCAAGAATGTACCACGTTCTCTGGAACGGCATTCCCTTCTGCCTGGTAAACAGCAGAGTAAATGTTATACTAATATGGAAAGCACAGGTATTTGGGTTACCCAGCCATGAAACGTCTAAAATACATTGCAGCCTAGTCCGTCTCTGATCTGTAAACAAAGCCACTGTTATTATTAAGTTGTAGTAGAGGTGAGAAGGACCATAGCAAGAAATAAGAGTTGCCCCCCAAATTCACAGGAACCCTGTCAAGTTAGTGAAATTGGTATGACACAAATGATCTATATCCAGACTTAAGACTGAGGAAAAGCACAGCTAAGATATATACATGGCACAAATAGAAAACAATAAATAACAGCCAAAACCCTAAGTATTTTTATGCTAAGAACTGAATTTAGTCAATAGTACCATAGAGCTTTTACTTTTAAAAGGTATGACACAATGAGGCGCTAACAGGAAATTATGTGTAAGAATAAAAATGCCCAAGGTCTGGAGGCATGAAGCTTTAATCCACATACTCAGGAGCTGAGGCAGGAGGATTGCAAGTTCAAGACCAGCCCGGCTACAGAGTAAGTTCAAGGCCAAGCTGGGCAATTTAGTGAGATACTATCTAAAAATTAAAAAGAAAAAAAAGTAAAAAGAAGGCTGGGAATATGCTGGACCGACCTGCGTGAGGCTTTAGGTTTCATTTCCTGGACCAGAGAAGCCTAAGGATGCTCAAGAGGAAAGCATTGATACGGCTTTTGCTTTATACAGCCGCCTAGAGGCTGATCCATTGTCCAAGTCTCCACTGCAGCCTAGCACAGCTGAGACCGAAGACGGGGTGACTCCAGGCTCCCACACTCTTACTACCGCCCCTCTTGCTGGTGTCTGCGGAATGCCACATTCCAAATCCTACATTCTTAAAGCGTTTAAGAACACTGAACAAAACGGAAGGATTTCGAAACCACCAACCAGAAGAGTAAAGTCTAAAGGACTCTATTCTAGTCCATCAAAGTGGGAGACTTCTGTAGTCATCTGGAAATTTACTAGGAAAAAGCACACTTTTTGGGGGGGCAGGCGGTGACTGGAGTCTCCATTTTATCAAGGAACTCTTCATGTGGGCAGTTCTGCCCCTGAGGACCCTGGCATTATTCTCTCAGAATGTCGTTTGTAGCCATGACCTACCTTTGTCATCCTGAAGATGGACTTACCTGTAGGAGAGCTGCCTTCATAATCCGACTGGAAGTGGACTAAAAGAATACAGTTCTTTAAAAACAAAACAAACAAACAACAACAACAACAACAACAACAAAACCATACTTTTAAATGCTCACCCAGCTGTTAAAGAAATTCAGAGGCTGGGTGTAGTGGCACCCACATTTAATCCCAGCACTCAGGAGGCAGAGGCAGACTCTGAGGACAAGGCCAGGTCCTTAAGAAGTCTGGTCTAGACCAGTCAAGGCTACATAAGGGAGCCCCTATATTAAGTGAGACCCCAGATTAAGTAAGATAATTTTTTTCTGACTCTTGCAGCAACACCTAAAAATACAATCCATAATATTTGATTCATGTAGATCCGTGGGTCTCAACCTGTGGGTCAATCCACCCTTTCATAAGGGTTGCATATCAAATATCCTGCATATAGGATATTTACATTACAACTCATAACATTAGAGATTACAGTTATGAAATAGCAACTAGAATAATTTCATGGTTGGGGGTCATCACAACAGGAGGAACTGTATTAAAGGGTCTCAGCGTTAGGAAGGTTGAAAACCACTGATGTAGATGATCACGAAGAACCTCCCTGGAAAGAATGGAATATTTAGTGAGTGGTTTCATGGAGCAGTTTTCTACTGTCCATTAGCAACTCCCCACATCCTTAAACTTGCACTGACATTAATCTAGAGGCAGGGCGGGAAAGTCAGTTCTTCCAGGCAGTGGCTTTTCCTAAATGCTCCTTGTTTTGAACTCCTGTGTCGCACTCTGAGTTTCCTGCTCCCGCTGAGGCGTGGCCGTCCCATCACCTGCTCCAACCTGGCCTACCTACCAGACCGGCTTCCTGCGTGACTTCCCCACCCCCACCCAATCTCGGAAGGGAAAGTGTAGACTTCCACGAACACAGGGCGTTCTGTCTCCGAGGTCAGCAACGGGCTCGCCCTTACTGGAGCTGCCTTTGTGCTCCGAGGTAGCTCGCCCTGCGAGCCAGTCACCTGACCCTCCCCGGGAGCAGCCGAGGGCTACCGCCGCATTCCTGGAATTCTTGCTCTCGGCACCAGCGGGTGGACAGCTGCGGGTTCTGTGAGCTGCAGTTGAGACTGGCTGTCCGCCTCCCGCCCCGGCTAGAAGCTTTCGGCCAGGCCAGTGACAGCAAGTGAGCCTTGGAGGAGTAGCTCGTCGCAGGTAAACTGAGTTTGCAGGGACAGCTGCGGCTCCCTGAAATGGGCCGCTCCACGCAGAATCATTCCGCTTCTGTCGCGCCTGTTTTTTTTTTTTTTGTTTTTTGTTTTTTTTTTTAGGAAAGTTAACTTGTCAACTGGTACCTCCTTAAAAGCAAACAAACAAATTTAAAACTAATAAGAGAGAACAGACCGCAAAGTTAGGTTCGCTTACACATCAAGGGGAGCAAATTATGAGAGAAATGAAAACCGCAGAGTAAAAGGACAGTTTATAAAACGGATTTCTTCTTGGTTTTGTGTAGCCTCAGGCACGGCGCATTTAAAGTAATGAATGGGTACTGTTCTATACCCACCTGCAAGGTTAGTGGTCATACTGGTAAGTGTCTAACCAAGAGCTTAGTGTCCAGAAAGGATATGAATATACATACATATGTGCATGCATGTTTTCATACGGTGCCTACTATGCGTGCACATATAAGCATATTATCTGGTCCACGGTACTACAATATCTAGAGAGGTAAGTAATACTTCGATTAGAAAGATTTGACCAGACTCTGGCCATGTTTTCAGCTTCAGTTACAAAATAAACAAGCAGGAGAAACCAGACATCTAAGCAAAACGTTGACCAGAAAATAAATAACTGCTTTGCTAGTCCTAATTCAGGGGAAAAAAAGCTGCTTGGTACAGCCAGAGTGGAACACTCCTACAGTAAGGGGATAGTGAGGCAGCTCAGTCATAATTATGCTTCGTGGAGGTCTTCATACCTGGAGACCTCCAGCTTTCTGTCCTAACTCTGCAATGATTCATTGGGCATTTGGGCGACTCCTTTATCCTTTCTCTTAGCATCAGGTTCTCATCGCTGGAAACTTGGGAGGCTCTCAGAATAACGCTGGGCTATGGCAAACACCAACTCTTTGGCTTGTGCAGTGGGAAAGACCAGTTATATCTCTTGCCTATCGGGTCTGTGCGGACAACCTTTGCCAAAAGACAGGCAAAAGGGAAATGCTAGATCACAATTCCTGTGTGATTCAAGAGCTTTAAAACTGAAGACGCATAAACTCAGAGTGAACTGTTTTGTCTTTTTTTAAGCTTAGGTTCGTTGCTGTGTAAGCAGCCATATAGAAATCTGACTGGATAGAAAGGGTCTAATGTAGCCGGGCATTGGTGGCACACGCCTTTAATCCCAGCACTTAGGAGGCAGAGGCAGGCGTATCTCTGTGAGTTCCAGACCAACCTGGTCTACAAGAGCTAGTTCCAGGGCAGCCTCCAAAGCCACAAGAGAAACCCTGTCTCGAAAAACCGAAAATAAATAAATAAATACAAACAAATGGGTCTGATATGATGCTAATAGACTGAATGGGGGAACCCAGCAAGGCCTGTCTCTTCGGAGCTCTCTTGGCCTCTCTGTGTGGCATTCCTTCTTCTTGGTCATGGGGTGCAGAAAGTCTTACCATCGGGGAAGCTGTGGTAGAGGATGTCAGAGCAGAGATGACAGTGTTCCTTGCCTTTGTGATTTTCTCTGTGGAAAGGGGCGCTAGTTTCCGTGGCCTGCCTTAGAGACAAGAGATTCTTAGTTGCTGTGCCTTACTTTTTGAGGGGAGGGGAAGATAAAAGGAATCAGGGGACAGGAGGACCCAAGGCCACAGTGAAACTTTACTCCCGGGCAGCTTTTAGCACCTTCTCTTTGGGGTATTGTTTTCTTTGTCCCAATAGTCTCCTTTAACAAGGGGATCTTTTACACATCACCAACTTTGGTCTTTCGTGTAGCCTGGTAGAAGAGTCCCCATTTCGCCATTGAGACAAGGAAAAGTATGCAACAATGATCCCATAGCTGCCAAGCCTAGAATCCATCCTCACCTTAAAAAGCATCCTTGCTCTGAGGCTAGCAAGTGTGCGTTGAGTGAAATGTGTAATATCTTGGTGTCCAAAGTGATGCTGCTCAAATGACCTTTCCTCCACTGAGCATTCAGGATCATCTTCTGCTAACGGCAGCCTGCCTCTGACTCCCTCACTCTCTTTTGTAACACCCAGGAGACTTTTCTCTAGGTCATCTCCACATTGCAGACTATTTAGTTCAATCGCCATTTTGAGGAAGAAAGCCCCCTTTCAGGCTCACAATTCCAGAGGATACAGTCGGCCTCGGTTGAGAAAGTACACAGCAGTAGGCACAGGAGGCAGCTGCTCCCATAGCATCCAAAGTCAGGAAGCAGAGAGCAAAGAATGCTTACACTCAGGTTACTTTCTCCATTTTTGTTGTTGTTCAGTCTGGAGCTCCAGGTCAGGGACTGGGGCCGCCCCGACTTAAAATGGGCCATCTCACCTCGATTGACCTAATCTGGATCATTCCTCAAAGCCATGTCCAGAGATTGTTTTTCATGGTGAGTTTAACTCCCATCAAGTTGGCAGTTAATACAAACATCATGGTGCCCAAGGAAATGTTTTCACATGAAGGGAACTTAATGGTAGATCAAGTTGGAAGCACGCCTGTGGTGCGCCACAGCAGGCATCACATAGGGCATGAAGGAGCTCAGGGGCCAACTGCCTGTGGGTGGGTGCTCCTCTCCATGGCATTTACTTCTCCCCCTTTCAGATACCATCTCTGATGTGTCTGGGGCAACTCGATTTCTCCGTGAAGTGTAGACATTGTCCAATGACCAAAGCAAAACTCATTTCTATCCCTGTCTATGTTTCTGGCTACCGTTTTACGGAGGTCAAAAAGTTTCTGTACCCCAATAAGCTTCTCCGCCAATGCAACAATCCGAATCAGACCAAATCAAAATTAATTAGAAAAAGCCCACATTTAATGGATACAAAACTCCCAGATGGCCTTCCAGCTCTCCAGAGAGGAGACAGGAAAGAAAGACTAGAAAACCACGAGTCTGTTTGCTGGGGACAGCTTTAATACCCTGTGGGAGTGGTTTTGAGCATCTCTGGGGGAGGGGGACATTATTTGTCTGGTTTTCTGAGATGGCAGCAGGATCTGGAGAGATAGAGGAGGGAACTTGGGATGAAATTTACACCAGAACATTCCAGATTCTTTGGGTATAAGGATGCCAGGGACTGGGGTGAAGCTTCCACCGGAACAGAGATCATCTCTTGACATATATCTGCAACTGGAGAAAGGATGTGTTAAAGGAGAACTAGCCTAACATCTTTTTAAGATACCACAATTCACCATTCCTCATTTTTCTAGGGGGCATACTATTTTGGAATATGTTCCCTCTGCCCCCTGCAAAATCTCCCTACCACTCCTCCTTTTAAATTCCAGAGCTCCCCTTTCTTCTGATTGTCCTGCTCTCTAGCTCTTCTAAACTTCAGGGTATAAATGAGCAAGGATGCAGGGGAGATGGTACAGTCATATTCCCGTTTCCTGACTCTCCCCACACCTTCATTCTTTAATGTTAGTATTACTCTAGGGCAATGGCTCTCCACCTTCCTAATGCTATGACCCTTTAACATGGTTCCTCACATTGTAGCGACCCCTAACCACCACAAAATTATTTTTGTTGTTAACTCATAACTGCAATTTTGCTACTGTTATGAACCATAATGCAAATATCTGTGTTTTCTGATGGTCTTAGGTGACCCCTGTGAATGGGTCGTTCATCCCCCAAAGGGGTTGTGACCCACAGGTTAGAACCACTGCTTTATGAGATTTGTTCTTAACAGTGGCTGCGCATTTACTTGGCACCAGCTCAACTTTTCCGTGTTCAACCAGTTGTGCAGGTGTTGTCTTCGGCAATGGGACCTTGCTGCCCCTTGTGGAGAGCAATCTATTGTCTCAGCAACAGACTGGGTTGTTTGGGGATTCCCATGAGACCACTTCTGCAAACAGCTTCATTAGATGTAACCCCATCTTGATCCCTCCTAGATCCCTTCTCCTCTTCTCCCCTCAATCCTCCTTTCCAGTCCCTTATCCATCTATAATTATCTATTCTATTTCTCATTCCTAACAGGATTTATCTGTGCCCTATAGTCCCTTACTCTGTACCTAGCCACTATAGTACTATGGATTGTAGCTTTTTTATCATTGATTTTTAAAAAAGATTTATTTATCATATATACACTGTTCTGTCTATGTATGCCTGCAGGTCAGAAGAGAACACCAGATCTCACTATAGATGATTGTGAGCCACCATGTGGTTGCTGGACATTGAACTCAGGACCTCTGGAAGAGCAGTCAGTGCTCTTAACGTTCAAGCCCTTTTCCGGCCCGCTATTTTGTTTTATGTTAAGGTCTTTGATCCATTTGGAGTTGAGTTTTGTACAGAGTAAAAAGATTGGTTGTATTTGGATTATTCTACATGAAGCCATCTAGTTTGACCAGCACCATTTATTGAAGATGCTGTCTTTTTCCCAGTGTGTATTTCTGGATTCTTTATTTAAAAAAAAAATCAGGTGTCCATAGTTGTGTGAATTTATGTCTGAGTCTTCAATTCTATTCCCTTGATCAATATGTCAGTTTTATGCCCATACCATGCTGTTTTCATTAATATGGCTTAAAATTAGGAATAGTGATACGAGTAGTTCTTTTATTATTCAGGATTGTTTTAGCACACACACACACACACACGTGAAGCTGAAAATTACACTTACAAGATCAGTGAAGAATTGTGTTGGAACTTTTTTTTTTTTTTTGGTTTTTCGAGACAGGGTTTCTCTGTGGCTTTGGAGGCTGTCCTGGAACTCACTTGGTAGTCCAGGCTGGTCTCGAACTCACAGGGATCCGCCTGCCTCTGCCTCCCGAGTGCTGGGATTAAAGGCGTGCGCCACCACCGCCTGGCTCAATTTATTTTTTTAAAGACTTTAAATGTTTATACAAGTCTTTCACTTTCTTGGTTAGGGTTACCACCAAAATAGTTTATATTATTTGAGGCCATTGTGAAAGATACTGTTTTCCTTATTTCTTTCTCAGTCCATTTGTCATTTGTATGGGGGAGGGTGGGATACTGGTTTTCAAGATTTAATTTTGTGTTTAGTTACTGTGCTGAAAGTGCTTGTCAGCTGTAGGAGTTCCCCGATAGAATTTTTAGGGTCACTTATATATGTTATCATGTCATCTGCACATAAAGGTACTGTGATGTCTTCCTTTACAATTTATAGCCCTTTGATATCCTTGTGTTGTCTTATTTTCCCCAGCTAAGACTTCAAATGCTGTACTAAATAGATACAGAGAGAGTGGACAAACATGTCTTGTTCCTGATTTTAGTGGAATTGCTTTTTCTCTCCATTTAATTTGATGTTGACTATGAGCTTACTGTAAACTGCCTTATTATGTTGAGGCATATCCCTTGTATCCCTGATCTCTCTAGGGCTTCTTTCATGAAAGGGCATTGGATTTTTGCCAAAGATCTTTTCTGCTTTAATTGAGATGATCATGTGTTTTTGACTTCCAGTTTGTTTATGTAGTGGGTTACACTTATCAATTTACATATATTGAACTATCCCTGCATCTCTTGGATGAAACCTGTTGATCATGGTGGATGCTCTTTTTGATGTGTTGTTGGGCTTAGGTTTAAAAACATTTTATTGAGTATTTTTGTGTCTATGTTCATAAAGGAAATAGGTCTATAATCCTCTTTCTTTGTTAGGTCTTTATGCAGTTTGGGTATCAGGGTAACTGTGACCTCATAAAATGAATTGGGCAATGCTCACTCTTCTTTGAAACTCTGGTGGAATTCTGCACTAAAACCATCCAGTCCTGGACTTTTTTTTTGGTTTGGTTTGGTTGGGAGATTTTAATGATTGCTTTTATTTTACTAGGGGGTCATAGGTTTGTTTAAATTGCTTAACTGATCTTGATTTAACTTTCGTGAGTGACAGGCATAAGAAAATAATCTATTTCTTTTAGATTTTCTAATTTGGTAGAGTATAGGGTTTTTTAAAGTATGTCCTTATGATTCTCTGGATTTCCTCAGTGTCTGTTGTTATGTCTCCTTTTCCATTTCTGGTTTTGTTAATTTGGGTAGTCTTGTTCTGCCTTTTAGTTAATCCGAATAAGGGTTTGTCAATCTTACTGAGTTTTCTCAACAACCAATTTATTGATTTTTTAATATTGTTTTTCTTTGTTGTTGTTCTTGTTTCTGTTTTATTGATTTCATCCCTGAATGCAATTATTTCTTACTGTTTTGGAGGTGATTTCTTTCTTTCTTTTCCTTCCTTCCTTCCTTCCTTCCTTCCTTTCTTTCCTTCCTTCCTTCCTTTCTTTCTTTTACTCTTTCTTTCTTCCTCTCTTCCTTCCTTTCTTTCTCCCTTTCTTTTTAAGAGTTTTCAGGTGTGTTATTAAGTTGCTACTATGAAATCTCCCCAATTGTTTTTATGTAGGCGCTTAGTACTGTGATATTTACTCTTAGCACTGCTTGCATTCCTATAAGTTTGGGTATGATGTGTATCCATTTTCATTCAATTCTAGAGAGTCTTTGATTTCTGTCTTGACCAATTTTTCATCCAGTAGAAAGTTGTTCAGTTTCATCAGTTTGTAAATTTTCTGCTGTTGATATTCAGCTTCAGTCCTTGGTGATCTGACAGGATGCAGGGAGTTATTCCAATTTTCTTGTATCTGTTGAGACTTGGTTTGTGTTGAGTATATGGTCAATTTTGGAGAAAATTCTATGAGGTGTTGAGAAGAAGGTATATTCTCTTGTGTTTGAGAGAAATGTTCTGTAAATGTCTGTTGGGTACATTCTCTTTATAAGTCATTTAGTTCCAACATTTTTCTGTTTAGTTTTTGTCTGGATGACCTGTCTATTGGCAAGGGTGGGTACCGAAGTCTACCACTATCAGTGTGGGAGGGTCAATACATGATTTAAGCTGTAGTAGTGTTTATTTTACAACTTGGGTGCCCTTGTGTTTGGGACATTGGTGTTTTAATTAGTCAGGGTCCTCTAGGGTAATAGAACTTATAGAATGAATCTAAACAGAGAAAGAGGAAGGAGGAAAGAGTGAGAAAGTAAGAGAGAGAGGGGAATTTGATAAAATGACTTACAGGTTGTGGTCCAGCTAATAGAGCAATAGCTGCCTATGAACAGAAGGTCCAAGAATCCAGTAATTGTTCAATCCACTAAACTGGATGTTTTCAAAGCTGGTCTTCAGTATATGCTTGAATACTGAAAAAGTAGACTGTAATGCCAGTAACATAATGGACTTGCTAGTGAGAGCAAGAACAAGCAGACTAAGAACTAGGCTTCCTTTTTCCGTGTCTTTATATAGGCTTCCAGCAGAAGGTGAAGATAAGACGATTAGAGGTGAGTCTTCCCACCTCAAAATATCTGGATTAGAGATGTGCCTTCCCACTTCAAAGATCCAGATTAGAAGTGGGTCTTCCCACTTCAAATGACTGGGAAGATTGTAATTCTAGGTGTTGATATCTGGTCTTGTTTTTATAGGCGGGATGTTTTGTTTCTTGGCTTCTGTTTCCTCTCTGGTTCTTAGGAGAGTGTGGAGGTTGTGTTGTGTCTGGTAGAAATTCTTCTGGGGTTATAAGTGTGGGTACTGGGGATTTCTGGGTATGGGAGCTGACACTTCAAAATGGGGTGGGTTGGAGTGGTCTGAGGATATTCACAGGAGAGATAAAAGCAGAGTGTTCCACCAGGATCTGTTTAGTTAGTCCCCTGGGAACGGAGCCAGAGATTGAAGAAGGGAACCCCAGAAGGTCTACTATAGAGCTGGGGGTGAGACTGGGGGATTGGACTTGGAGAAATGGAGGGATAGATGAAGATCTGTAGTTAGTCTACTTGTTTGCCTAGTCAGATTGTCCGTGGGTTCCCAGGAGTGTCTACTGCAGTAGGGGCTGGAGCAGGGGAGGGCTGGAACAAAGCAAATAGTTTGGGGAGGGAGGCTGGGGGAAAGATCTGTGGGATCCACTGGAGATGGGTGCAAAGGGGGCAGGGAGATTGAAGCAGGTATTCTGTTGCAGGGTTGGGGACGGGACAAGGCTGAGGAACTGGATTTGAAGAAACAGAAGGACAGGTGAAGATCTATGTTAGCCTACCTGCTTTCCCAGCTAGAGGAGTTGGGTCAGGAGAAAGCAAAGAGTTGGGGGAGGAAAGTTAGGAAAGCAACATCTGTGTAGTCTACCGGAGGTGAAGGCTCCTGAGGGAGGGGTGCTTAACAGGTGGTTTGCTGTATGCTGTAGAGCTCTGGATGAGATGGGGGATTGGATTTGGTGTAGCTGATGGAGAGGTGAAGATCTGGTGTGTTAGCCTACTTGTTTCCTTGGCCAGAGTGAGCTTTATTTGTCTAAAGCTGGAAGATAGTATAAAAATTATACATCAACAGATAATAATGCCATTGAAATACCTAAAAGTGGCCCATGGGTAATTGACCTGAATATCACATGAAGGATTTGTCTAGATACCACAGTCAACAGAGACTAAGTATCTTGAATTTAAGGCTGCAAACAGCATAGAGAGGTACTCCCACAGCAGTAGCTTCCAGGGGAGATCTGAGAGTATCCAAGAGACCACAGAGTCCTCTTTCTTCTCACTCTCCTTCACACTGAAATGATAGCCACTCTGGGCTCTTACTCTCTAAGAAGGTAGCTGCGTTTATAAATTGCTTGCATGAGTGAAGAGATAGATTATGCTTCACTATAAAGTGAGCTGGAAAGTCTGCTCACTCAAAAGCAGGAGATTAGCCCCACAACAGCTACTAAGGAACCTTGGGGAAGTCATCAAACATCCCTGGCCACCAAATGGCAACTGCAGTATCTACTAAGCAAACAATTTTTATCTTCATTATCTCCAGAAGGAAACTAAGGACTAAAGAGAATAACTGGTACCCAGCTTATCAGCTTGCTCTATTTTCTGTGGACTATTGCACAGTGGAGAAGTGAAATGAAATTGTATTATTCCAACTGAGTAATGGGGGGGAGATACCTGATCCCAAAGACTTTCCTGCTTAGTCTGTGCTGCAATACTATCATGTTCAGTGTCAGCGCTCAACTTCAGTTTCAGTAGAGATCTCCCTAACCCACATACTGAGCTGAAGCCCTTTATCTCGTTGCTGTGTGATTAGAGAGTGCACAGGATTAAAGTGAGGAGATAACTTTGTGGACAGAAGGAAAGAGGAATTTCTGTTGTCACGGCTGGAACATGAAACCAAGAGGGTAAACTAGTTTCTATGCCAGGTTCTGGAGGAGTGGGGACCAAGCAGTGGGTCTAAGCGGGGTTTCCTATGCTCTCCTTTCTCCTTCGTCCCCTGGGCTCTGCTTACAGAGATCTAGCAGGGTGAGAGGGGATGGGGTTGTAGAAAGTGTATGAGTCTTATGCTGCTCTTTCAAAGCTTCAAATTAAATTCTGGAGGAATCTGATATTTCCTGAAAGAGAGAATTTTCCAGGACAAAAACAAACAAGAAAGAGCTCGTTCAAATACCACCAAACAAGAGTTAATTACTCCGTGTAGGGATTTCCAATTCTCCTCCCCCTGCTTCCCTCTCCCACTTCCTGCCCCCTCTTCCTTGCTGTCTCCCCTCTCTTTGTCCCTGCACACACACACACACACACACACACACACACACTCACACACACACACAGCGCTATCAAGGTCACATTCTGAGCTCATGCCATCTGCCATTCTGCCACTGTCCCATTATGTCATTTGTTTCCGTTACAGGGACTGCCAAAGGAGACCCCTGAAGTCTGAAGAATAATGGCCCTTCCTGGAATGTGAAGTATACCTACTGCCGCATGATTTCCTCTCTCTAACCGTGGATAGTTGATCATGGCTGTGTGTCCACCACAGAAAGCCAACTGATCCAACCCACAATGCATCAACTTTTCAGACTGGTTTTGGGGCAAAAAGATCTTTCAAGAGCTGGGGATCTCTTCTCTTTAGACGACGCCGAGATTGAAGACAGCCTCACAGAAGCGTTGGAGCAGATTAAAGTCATTAGCTCATCTTTGGTAAGTAAATTGGTTTGTCGAATAGACCTCTCAAGTGGCCAATCTCAGAGCCAAAGACTACATACCTCTCAGCCAACAGAAAGGGGCAAGGCCTGTGATTTGCGTAACGTGTGGTTTAATTGGTTTCTTGGAAAAATAGCATTGTACAAACCATTATCTTAAGCCAGCTTTTGCCCACTCACAGGGACCTGAATGCTAGAAATCGCAAACTACGGTGGGATTCTTTAGGGGCTATTTTTACATCCTTGAAATGTCATGGAAAAGAGGGGTGTAACAAATTTAAGAAAAGCAGACCTGCCAAGCTGCACAACTACATCAGCAAACAAGGCAGGGTGGGTGTGTGGTGGCAGCTGAATAATGAAAGAAGGCAGGTGACACCTCTGGCACACTGGTAATGTGAGACACGGGACTGCCAGAGCGCTGCTGCCAGAAATGACAGTTGCCCAGGGCTTGACGACGCTGATTCTGTTTACTTATGCATTGCCTCGCTCTCTGTAAAAAAAAAAAATCCCTTTCTTTGCTTCACTTTCTACCCTCCAGTCTCCATTTAATTCAGCCCCAATGATTAGTCCCTAATATGAGCACATACCTTTAAGATCCCAAATCAAGCCTCCCCTTCCTTTGTTTTGCCCCTGTGTCAAAACGATATATTCTGAAAACACACCCCCAAAGCGGAGATAATGTGCAGTACCCAGTGTGGTGTGATGTTGACCTTCTTGGTTGGACTCGGACCTTCCTTGAGATTAGCCCTACTTCAAAGGCCGCAGGCGCTAAGCACCTGTCACACTCACATCCTCACAACTCCATAGTTCTCGTCCACGCTTAGCACGGACACCCAGTGGGAGGGAGAAGTTGTGTGGGGCTCTGGACATTGACGTGTAACAGCAGCCTCTTCCACAGGACTTTTAAAAGGAGCACTGGCAAGCCACGAGGTTGTCTCCACATACCCGTCATCGAGTCCATTTGCCCTTCACTCTTTTTTTAAAAAAGATTTATTTATTCATGGATTTTGTGTGTATAAGTGCTCTGTGCTCATGCACACCAGAAGAAGAAGTCTGATCCCATTACAGATGGTTGTGAGCCACCACCGTGTGGTTGCTAGGAATTGAACTCAGGACCTCTGGAAGAGGAAGGCAAGTGCTCTTAACCACTGAGCGGTCTCTCCAGCCCCTGTTCTTCTCACTCAGCGTACTAGTTCCCATACTGACCAATGAGATCAATGCCTTAACATTCTTGGTTTTTTTTCCAGACCACTAATCAACTATTCTGACTGAAAACATAAAGCTTATTTTCACTCTCTGGGTAGCATTTCTGTGCTGTTTCCATCAGGTTCCCTTGTCCCCTCCTCTAGAAATAAGCCGGCTGGAATATGCCATCGCCGTCTATCCTCTCTGGAAAAACAAACCTACTCAGACTGAGGTCCCGAAAAGCCTGTGCTGTTTCCACCAGAGGTCACTAGTGCCCCGTGCTTTCTTTTGATTCCTTCAACCTGCCTCCCAGATGTCAGGTGAAGGACTTTAGGACTGGCGCTGTTGTATCCACCCCCACTGGTGCAGGGAGGGTGCTGCACAGGAGGGCTGTTGGAACTAAGCCCTCCAGCCAGCATGACAGTTCACGACTCTTCTCTATTAACTTCCTTCTCGTTGACTTCGTCTGCCTATCCCCAGGGAGCGGAAGAAACGTGGCGACTTAACCACTTATGAGTGTCCAGCTTTGGGGGACGGATGCCATACACTCCTTTTTCCCTTTTCTGATTGGCTGGCCCATTAGCTGTGTTAAATTTACCCCTCAGTGATGTGGCCCAGGCCTCCCTTGGCAGTTTGATGACCCTTTCCTGACCACCCTGGATCATAGTAATTAATTCTTATTCCCAATCCTTTTCCAAAAGCGGAACTGGGAGTTTCCTTTTGAACTGCCTTTTCCAACGTGTTTCCAGCACCCATATTTTCCTTGGGACTCCGGACCAACGGACTCTTCTGATTGTTAAATAGTGAGGTTGGGAATGTTGTTTTGACGTTTCGTCCCCTCCCCTCTTAAATTTCTCTTTGTTAACTGTCCTCTCTGTATCACGAGGCTCTTTGATGGGGCCTAAGCAAGGCTCCTACTGTGAATGTTTCCTACTCTGCTACCAACAGAAGGCTGGAAAAGAGTGAGATCCCCCCATCTGACCTCAGCAATTGGAATTTAGTTTCCCAGTAATTCTGAGAAAGGAATGAGTGAGGAGTAATTTACCATGGTGCCAGTAGCCAAAGCTCTGTAAAACTGCGTCTGTCTTGCCCGCTCTTTCTTCTGAGATCAGGTACTTCCGCTTTGCCTTCAAGTCTGGGCACGGTCTATTACCACTAGCAGCAGCGGCAGCATTGCCGCCATCATCATCATCATCATCATCTTAAGCTTATCCAGACTTACACTGTTGCTGAAGATTCGAGAATCTTGACAAAGACACGGCTCTTCCAACAACCGTTGGAGGTTAAAAGTTACCATGTGTGATTATCATCTTGACAGGATCTGAAATCAGCTAGTAGCAAACTTCCTAGCACACTTGTGAGTCACTTAGATTCGACTCGTCTTTGGCATGTCTGTGAGGAATCGCCTTGACTAGATTCACTGATGCGGGAAAGACCCACCCTAAGAGTGACGTCCGTGGACTTGGATTCTAGACTTCCATGAAAAGGAGAAAGCTGGCAAGGCATGAGCATTCACTGATTTCCACTTCCTAATGTTGGACACGACTAAGTTCCTTCCACCAGAACTTCTCAGCCATGATAAACAGCACCCTGGAATAGTAAACCCAAGTAAACCTTTTCTCCCTTAGTTTGCTCTTGTCAGAGAATTAATCACAGCCATAGGAGAAGGAGCTAAGACATACCATGTTCCTCCTTTCACCCAGAAGAAATCTTGCTATTCAAACATTTTACTCCTTCTTTGTTCTAGTCTCTCTACTCAGCCGCTAAGATCCAGCCTCCTTTCCTACGAGAAAAGCTTCAAACTGTTGAACAATTGTCAGGTCTCGCCTTCTCTTCCAGGCTAAATATTTTTAATATCCGTGGGTTTTCCCATGATACGGAAAGGTGTCTATGTCAGGGAAAGGTTGTACCTCCTGGCATCCTACATAAAACCCTTGGTCAGCAAAATGCATTTTGTCAGTATGTGGGGAAAACTACACAAATTGTGCTATCTAAGCACAACAGTGATATCAATGACAGCAATAATGTATCTATTTATGATGAAATGGTAACATACGTATCAGAACTTTTGTGTCTTGAGTTGTTCTACCCAAGTCTCTGTTCTGAGTTTTAGAGAGGGAATATTATTAATGTCTATATTCCATCTTCCCCGATGGAATATTAGTCAAGCTTCACTTCCTGAAACACATCCAACTCACCTGTGTAATCTTTTACAGACTGTGTCTCTGTTGAGGCCCCTGAGATGGCTAATCCCATCCATACAAGTACACTTCACTGATTTCATTCTCTGTAGTTTTTTTTTTAACTTTTGGGGGGGCGTCTGTCATCCAGCTCCCAAATAAATACAGGGAGACTTATCTTTCTTATGAATGCCCAACCTTAGTTTGGCTTGTTTCTAGCCAGCTTTTCTAACTTAAATTATCTTGCTTCTTTTTTTGCCTCTGGGCTTTTTACTTTCCTTTATTCTGTATGTCTTTCTTTCCTTCTTACTCCGTGGCTGACTGTGTGGCTGTGTGGCTGGTGTTCTCTTCTCCCCCTTTTCTCTCTCCTCAATCCTCTCATTCCTCTTCCCAGATTTTTCCTTCTATTTAATTCTCTCTGCCTGGCAGCCCCACCTATCCCTTTCTCCTGCCCAGCTATTGGCCATTCAGCTCTTTATTAGAGCAATTAGGTGTTTTAGGCAGGCAAAGTAACACAGCTTCACAGAGTTAAACAAATGCAACATGGAAGAATGCCACACATCTTTGCATCATGAAACAAATATTCCACAGCATAGATGAATTTAACACATCTTAAACTAATATTCCCCAATCTCAAAAAAGAAATCTTGTATCCAAGGTCTCAGAGAATGCCTCACTGTAGCTCCAAGTACTACCCACCTTCTCAACATTCTGGATCCCCTTGCCAGGGGTCATCTTAAGTTGATATTGTAGTTCATCCTTGTTTTATACTTGGACCATTTGCTCAGAGCCATTACTAATGCTAATCAGATAAAGAGCTCTGCTTCTAAAATACAATTTTAGTAGCAATAGTACACATTTTCCACATTTATCCTGAGAAATTCTAGAACTTATAAAGGTGAATCAAAACTTATAGCCAGGTCATTTTTATGTAGATTATATTACATTTAAACACCATTATAAACCATTATAAACACATGCTTGCCTTTAGACCCTTATGCTAATGAATACTGTCCCTGCTTTGCTTTGAGCTCCTCACTGGAATGTCTCTAAGTTCCCAAGCATACATTTAATTTTTTAAATTCTAAATCATTTCTAGACTACCTTTATTATTAGTTTTCTTTCTTGTTAATTGAGTTTTCTTTCCACAGAATTTCAGGTGAGATCATCTCTTGCTTCTTTAAGGGTGTATAACCCTAACCCTAACCCTAACCCTAACCCTAACCCTTGTGGCCCTTGGTAGGCTGACCATACTCCATTGGAGGGTCCCACACCCCTGAATATATTGTGTATTGACAACACAAATTTGTCTCAGTGGCTTTCTTTTTTAACATTTATTTATTTTTTACTATTTATGTGTGTGAGTGCTTTGTCTGCATGTATGTATGTGTAACACATGCTTGTCTGGTGCCTTTAGAAGTGAGAAGAAAGAATTGGATCCCTGGAACTCAATCATACAGGGCTGTGAGCCACCTTATGAGGACAAGGAATTGAACCTGGGTGCTCTGCAAGAGAAACAAATGCTCTTAACTGCTGATCCATAGTTCCACTCCTCAATATGAGGTTATTTTAAAAACAAAGTAAGGAAAAGAAATAATAGTAAAACCAGAGAGAGAGAGAGAGAGAGAGAGAG